AAAATAATCTGTCATAGGGAACCCGAAAGGGGCGCTGTGGGGTGCTAACACCTTCCCCACGCGTAACCGACTCCCTTACCCAACTCTGGTTGTAGTGGCCAAAGTTGATTTTTAAATCAATTGCCTTATCCCTTTTTCCAATGTTTTGAGTAAAACATTGGTGGCGACTCCACGAACCCTCCTTTTATGAAAACCACTAATCCATGGAGGGTCCCGCTTGGGATTAATATGGATTAGTGAGCCTTTTAATAAAATTGCTCGTTTGACGAGGTCTCAGTTTGAGAATAAGTCATTCTAGCAATCCACTATTTTTAAACAAATAAACGAGTCCAACCATCCCTCGCGAATGCCGAAAGCCCGTTTCGGGCCGGTGGCGACACCAAGCAGAGGAGGCTCACCGATCTTACCCAAAGATCACCTCACCCACCGATCTCAGGTAAGAACAACTCTGATATTTTTTTCTTCTTCTTCTATTTATTAAAGTTTTTAAGAATATTGAATGTGTTATTACCACTTTTCGTCAATATCGATTTTATTTAAAACTAGTGTAAAAATATGCGTTCCTTTTTCTCATTAAATAAAATATAAAAATGATATTAATTTTGATAAGATAAGTGATTATTTAAAAAGTGTGATGGTGGTAAAAAGATAATTTACAAGGGTAAAAATGTATATTAATATAGATAATAACAAACGATTTGTTTAGATAAATAATTGTAGCCAATTTTTATATATTAAATGACGCAAACTTTTACAGTACACAATAACGTTTTTAGAGGTTTTTTATGAGATATTTTTTTAATTAAATTTTTATTTATTATAATTATTATGTATTAAATTTTAATATTTTTAAAATCAATTATCAATAAATAAAATGATATTATATTATAATATTTTTTCTTATAAATATAAATATAATTTATATATTTTAAATATGATTTATATATTTAAATATAATATTTATTTATATGTAATTTATTATTAATTTTAGTTATATATAATAAATATTTAACATGTGAAATATACATGATTAAATAATAATATATTATGAAAATAAATTAAATTCAAATATTTTATTTAAAAGATATCATTATCTCTATGATAAAACAGAAAATAATTTTTTTTCTAAAATAAAAATGATATTGTTATTTCTACAACAAAAACAAGAAAGGCAACACTTAAGTATATTTTTAATAATAAATAACAAGTAAATATCTGATTTGGTTCCTAAAAAATGGTTAAGGTGATTAATAAGTCCTTGAATAACTTTTGTGGTGTCTAGGTCCTTAAATTTTATTATGTAAGTTGGTCCTTTTATTATTTTTAGATATTAATCTATTAGTCTCATAACCAAACAATAATTGATTATGTTCACATGTACTTTTTGTCTTAGTTGGCATGCAACAATTACAAAGTAGATAGATTTAAACATGTGACAAAGTAAGGTTTTAATTTTTTATTTAATTTAAAATAACTAAGTGACATTTAAATTTCTTATTTCTTCTCGCCTATTCCCATTCTCGTATTTTACAGTAATAGAGAAGACTATTATTACTAAACTCTTCTTGATTTCTACTAGAGGAGTTTTGTGATCCATATTCTATTGATGTATTCTTTCTTGGAATCTTTCAAAATGATGACTCATTTTGCTAAATCTCAAATTCAATGAGGATTTACACAGCCTTGAACATATAGTCAAAACAAACAAAGAAATTAAGGATGAGTAAGACAGAAAAATCCAACTAGATGAATCCTTACAGAACCCAACAACAACCTTCCATTTTAACCAAAACACTCATTACTAGAATATTTAAGCATAACAAAGTGTTCATTATTGATTGAAAAATATTAAAATCTTGCATTATGATTCATATTAGGTGATTAGGAGAGAAAACAATCAACTAGGAGAAATAACATGTGTTAATCTGATACTTAACAACTGACTGTTTAAGAAACTAACAAAATTAGTATCTAAGTATAACATAATAACTAACTTACATAACGAAATTAAAATTTAGAGATCTAAATACCACAAAAGAAAATCTTTCAATAACTTGTTGACACCTCTGCCATCTTTAAAGGATTAAATTAAATATTTACATAATAAATAACACTTGATATCATTATTTAGAAGATTTTCTCATTCAATCTAAATAAATATTAATTTATTTTAATAGGAGTTTAAGTAATATTTACATATCCATACGTTCGAATCTTATTACAGTATTTTTACTAATAAAAAAATAAGCACATATTTATCTATGTCTATAAATATGATCTTAACGTAGTGATTAACCTACTCACATTTAAGGAAGTGCATCCACATTTGGTAACTTAAAATATATGTACATGTCTTGAGTTATAATTTTTTTCTTTAAATTTAAATTATGAATCTTCTGTCTCTACTTTTTCATTTTGAACCTTCTTTAAATCGGTCTCTTTTCAGTTCATTTTTTTATTCTGAGTGAGTGTTTTCTGTATTTTATGTAATATTTATTTCTTCATTTATATATATATAATAAATATTTTTTTAATTTTAAAATCAACTACTGTACTTAACGCAACAGGGACTTGACTTAATAATTAGTTATTTTACCTTCCGATCAACTCCGGTGGATCACTTCACTTTGGAGGCACCTCAAAAGGTAGGATAGCTGGCCCCAAAATTTAACGCGGTTGCATATACATTACAAAAAAATGTGTGATTTGCAACGGTTATTTTGGTGGTTTCTGGCGGTTAAAAACCACCACAAATCACATTACCGGCGTCATTGATAACCGCCGGATCTACGGTCGCCACTTGCTCTAATCTCATTGTCCTATCTATTTTGTCCTTATGTTGTCTATGTTTATTATGCGCTGATGGTGCAACCTTCAGGTGCGGTTCAATGTTTCTTCTGATTGTTTCCCGCTACCAGAAAGCATTTTCAAAAAGGCAATCAAGGACAATTACAATGAGAAGAACAAGTTCAAAACAGAACTTACTGCTCGACAAGTGAGAATCAACTATTCTTCCTGTGGGCCAGCTGTCATTTTCTTAATTCTTCATCATAGATGATATTCAGATGTTCTTTTTCAGGTTAGGAAGCTCACTGAACTTTTCCGACCAGTTGACGTTCGTTCAGGTTTGCCACCTGTTCGCACTCCTCCAAAAGCAATAATTCATGATAGGGATGCTCTTGATGGTGGTAGGGGATCGTGGTCCCATTTGCACAGGGAAAGAGATCCCCAAATCGAACGGCGAGAGGAAATTCCTCATGATTTATTTCTTACTGAGAAGAGCTACCGAGCTTATGGTCTCCAAGGAGATAGAAGGAATGTGATTCCAGCCTCTCAGGTTAATCCTATGTTGGATCCTTATGAGAGGGATTATGAAAGACAGCACCTTCATCCTGTGGACCCTGTCTACCGTAATAATGTCCCTGCACACACAGAAAGTCTTCATGCTGGTCCTCGTCATCTGAATGAGAGCGAACACCAGGCCTATTTGCATGGTGGAGTTTCTGAACATGCAGACGATCCTTATCACCGGTATCGCTATGGTGCTTCACCAAGGGATCCATATTTTCCATCTAGGAGTAGAGAGGAAATCTCTTCAAGGTCTTATTTGGCTGGGGGAAGAACTTTGATTGGAAGTGATTCCTTGCAAAGGAGAGAGGCTGTTCAGGATAGGCTTTACTCAACATATTCTGCGGCTGATGCTTTGTCTGAATACAATCGGATGCAACACTACCAAGAGAGCTTGGAAGCAACAGCTGTACCAGTTTCATCCCGTTACTCTTTTGCTGGTCCTTCATATTCACTTCGCTAAATCAAACAAGCACTTTTGAAAACCCTCTTGTCATGTCTTCCTTAAGATTATCTTCTATTGTGGACATTAAAGAACTGTATGAATCCAACTTGAGTTTTTTCTTAGGCCTCACTCTGAACTGGGAAAACATTTGTTCATTGTGTCTGAGATTAGATGTGCAAAATACCATTGATAATGACAATTGACCTTGCAGACACTAGTAGCTTTGCAACTTTCAAAATTTGTGGTTTATAGTTAATTGGCTTGTGCTGTTTTAACAGATAAGAACATAAACCAGCAACGTTTCAATCGAGTTTTTCAAGTCCGGTTGTCATGTTTTGATCGCTGACAATTTCTGTCCGATCTGTTTGAAACCTGTATGAATGTGTGGGTACCCTGTATGATTTTCAGTGTTTCTGTAATACACTGTTTACCCATGTTTTCATAACCAGAATGGTGAACTGTTAAAGAAAGAAGTCCGATTTAATGTTTTTAATCTGACCTATTGAATGACATCTTTTCTATAGTGTGGATTTAGTAATTACTTTGCTATTAATTTCTGCTTGTTTTACATAATATACTTTATTTAAGTTTGGTTTCCCGTAGGGGCTTTTAATCGCACAGACCGTGCTCCCCTCCCTGTTTTGGTCTCATGCTAAGGTCGACCTGTCTATGTTTCGAAATGTCTGAATACCTCATTTCATTCAATATTAAAGGGGTCTCAACCTATATTTAAATATATCATGTTCTGTCTTGAAAATGGTCATTTTCTTCATCCACCTTATTTTCTTTAGGCTTTGAAACTCTCTTGAATTTTTAAGTGGATTTGGAGCCATCTTGCGCTGGCTTTCATCGGTGTTGTTACTAACCGACATGAAGATGCCCCCTCGAATAAAATTGAGTTGTGTCACAAGACTATTCCCTTAGATATAGGTATCAACATATATTGTTTCGCATCTGCTGTGAATTAAATCCAAATTAGGTAAAGGATGCCGTTTTGGAAAAGGTTGTGTTGAAAAATATTGTACAATGCAACTATTTTAAATTTGGATTGAACCCTAAACAGGACAATTGGAACCATCAAAGAAATGGGGCAAGTTAACCCACAAAAAAAATATTGAAAAATTTAACTCATCCCACTTACCGGTAGATTGATCCACTTTAGTGAGTTGGTGAATTAAAAATGGTGGATTGATAAGTCGACTTACCTTCAACCCATTTATTTTTTTTAAAAAAAATCTCATTTGAAGTATTTCAATATACATTTCACTTTTGTTAAGATATTGCGAAGATTTATTAAGGTTAATCATATCTTAGCAAATCATATCATATAATATCATATCATATCATGTAAATCCTTATTTTTTTTATATTATAAATAAGAGTTATGTATGCTGAAGATTGACATTTGACTTTACCTTTGAAGCCTTTGTCATTTGCTTTCCGTCAGAACCTTAATTGAAAAGCTTGACAAGTACCAGAGCATAGTCAAAATGAAGAAGGAAATAAAGTTCGAAGGTTCTTCTCAAGTGGGTCTTCAAAATCAGGTGGATCTCTTTTTACTAAAAAATCATTCTGAGATGTACATAGGAATCATCCAATACCACTAATTCAACACAAAAGATCATGCAATCGCACTACAATGAGTATTTTAGGGAGGTCAGGATTGCTAAGATAAAAACTTGAGGAATTGCGTAATCATGTGATTTGAGGAAAATCGCAATTTTGACTGCAATGATGTGAGGAGCAGTGAGTTTGCCAGAAATGATGCCAGAGATCTGTGGGTTCACCAGAAATAAGATTTAGGCACTTGCGCTGTTTGGTCACAAAACATGGTGAGAAATTGTTTTCATTCTTTCAATCAGAAACCTATGTTTTTCTATCCAAAATAGAAATCCCAAAACTACCCAAAAGAATTGGGTTCAGACTTGCAGAAGATCAGCTGTAGAAATAGGATTTTCCCCTGTGAAGCATAGCATCCAATATGGCCACTGTTTTCCAGGATGTCAATTGCTTCATGACCACAACTCAGGCATCAATGAAACACATAAATATAAGAAACAAAACTAGTAGAGATTCTACCGGTTTTGTTTCGTAAAGACCACAATACAACAAACAACTCCATCACTATAGTGGCATGATCATGTTCCATTTATAAGTATGAATATCAAGATTAGATTTTTAAGGATCTTCTCAAACGAAGTTGAGAAGGCCTACAAACAGTAATAAATTATCAAAGAAGACTAGTACATCTTAAAACAAAAGAGAATATATTCCATTAATCAGCCATGCAAATAGTCCTATACAAGGCATGAAGAAAACAGTAGAGGAAGAAATTATATGATTTAAACCCTGAACGGCACTACCAGTAAACCATAAAGAAGCAAAGATAAATGTTTAAGAATTGAGACCATTTCCACAATATATACATAAATCTACCAAAACAGCTAAAGGTTGACTTTGAATAACAAAATAAAAACAGAAAATGATAATATAGGGTTGTATTATCAACTAATTTAGACCTGCATCTTTCAGCATTTAAGCACAGAAATTCAAATACGAAAATAAAATAGAGAAAATATAAATGGCTTTAGAAATTGATTGACAATTCACAGGAAGCAGAAAAGGCAACAATTAAATTAAGGCTCAGGTTGGATTAGAAAAAATGGAAGGAAAATAGAAAGTGTCAAGTGTCAACCAACCATTCGACATACAAGCTATTACATATAAGGGGGCATTCGGCACATAGAAAGTTTTTACTTTCTCGGAAATCAGACATCAGAAATGTTAGAGTCCCGCATTTAGTTTATTACATAAAAAATAACATGCCTAGGAAACATTGTTTTCCGTGAATGGATTTTAGATAGGTTTCTCATGAAAATATTCCCGTGGGGGAGGTGATACACTAACTTTTCCGAGGTAAAAATAAAGTTTTAATGTGGTAAAAACATTATGTTACCTTTATTTGCATATTTAATGCAGCAAAAATATTTGATACTCAAGTAACACTTAAAACATTCCCAGAAACATTTATGACCAACTAAATAGATTTTTATTATTCTTATGAGTCATGATTTCCAGGATTTATGATTCCCAAACATGAAAAAATTTTCCATGTACCAAATGCCCCCAAAAGTTCAATAAAATATACAAAAACTGTTATTGCTTTACAGAGTTAATGAGGAAAAGAAAGTCATGAACCAAGACTTCAGTAATATCGAAGAGGAAGAATTATATGCCTTGAAACCCTGAAACTCATTACCGGTGACACAATAGAAAATAAATAAAGATACATAAACAGGTAAACTCAACAAAACAAAGGAAAATTGCTTAAAACCATGTCCACAATATATTCATGCATCATCTCAAACACTGACAAGTAAGCTTTGAGTAACTTACCAAATGCAGAAATCATAAAGCCAAACAACTTGAAACTTTAAAGGTTGATTAAAAGTGTTAAAGATATAAAATAAAAATCAAGAAAAAAAGAGTGTAATATATATAATAGGAATTTTGACAATGACAACTACATCCTCTATTTCTTGCCACCCTATAACATGGAAAGAGGAATAAGCATAATAAATGGAAACTTAAGAATACACACAGAGAACCGACAAAACACAATTCAACAGAACAGCAATACAACAAAATAGAGAATAAAATGGAACGTGCAACATTTTTGGGTACTGCCTTTATTAGGGAAATAATTCATTTTTTTTCAAAACTGTCGCGGGAATACGACAAAAAGAGTGATTATTTATTCCAAATAAAAGTTACTAAATTTTGTGTCTGTGAAATTAGAGTAAAAGTAACATACTTGGAAGATATAAGTGTTTAGTCATTCCAAAAGCCAACCACAAGATTATACTTGTGGGTATAAAAGTGTCTGTCCAACATGTCGTTATATGTATATAAACAGTGCTATGCTCTAAAATAGTGCTGTTTCATAGTTTAAAACAGTGATGAAACTATAAACATTGAACAAATCATAATATGGTTTAAAATCTACCAAAAAAACAAAAATGTGATTCCAGCCTCTCAGGTTAATCCTATGTTGGATCCTTATGAGAGGGATTATGAAAGACAGCACCTTCATCCTGTGGACCCTGTCTACCGTAATAATGTCCCTGCACACACAGAAAGTCTTCATGCTGGTCCTCGTCATCTGAATGAGAGCGAACACCAGGCCTATTTGCATGGTGGAGTTTCTGAACATGCAGACGATCCTTATCACCGGTATCGCTATGGTGCTTCACCAAGGGATCCATATTTTCCATCTAGGAGTAGAGAGGAAATCTCTTCAAGGTCTTATTTGGCTGGGGGAAGAACTTTGATTGGAAGTGATTCCTTGCAAAGGAGAGAGGCTGTTCAGGATAGGCTTTACTCAACATATTCTGCTGGAATAGGTATTTAAATATTGTGGCGGTTTCAAACCGCTGAAAATATTGTTCTTTTGCGGCGGTTAAAATAACTGTCAGAAATATAATATTTTGTGGCGGTTTTTTGAAACCGCCAGAACAAAACCCCCACTAACTACATAATTTTCTGTAGTGATATAAGACAGGATTCGAACTCCTGACTTTGCTTAAGCGTTGATCGATCTCTATTACTGAACCACACGCTTGAGATTTTTCACTTGTATGATTAAAAACACTTAATTATAATAACTTCTTTAAAAAACTAAAAGTACTATTATCTAAAAATATTTTTAATTCAGAATAAACTAATAAAAAACTATTTTTTTTTTTGTTGAATTAATAAAACACCATTGTTACTTGAATAGACGAAATAATTGACTGGCCAAGCTTGTCCAGTGTTTCTTTAGTCTTCGTCCTTGCCTTTGTCGTTTACCCAAACTACTTTTTTCTTTGCTATTTCCGGGACTGCTATTTCCAACTTTTTTCATTTTCATTTTATTCGCAGGTCCCCCAAGATATGGTGGTTATGCTGAAATTTTCGAATTTTTTATGTAAATAATATTTTTTTTAAAAAAATTACAAAAGTAACATCTTTGTAACTTTATTTACTCAACTAGAACCAATCACTGTTCATGCTTAGAATTCGGTTTCCGGGGAACCGAATTCTGAGCTTCAATATTTTTTTTCCTTTTTTTTGTGCTCAGAATTCGGTTCCCCGGGAACCGAATTCTGAGTTGTTTTAAATTTTTTTTTTTTTTTGCGTTTGAGGTCCAGTTTGGGCAAATCTGGGAAGTGGAACAGGCCGTTCCGGAAGCAGAACGGCCCGTTCTGCTAAACACATAGAGTGTTATTTTTGAAATTGGAACGGGTGCAGAACGGGCCGTTCCAATTTCAA